CTTCAACTCAACCTGGCTAAGACAGAACTGCTTGTGGTTTCAACAAACCCATCACTTTATCAAAATTTCACCATCCAGTTAGGCTCATCAACCATAACTCCTTCAAAAACAGCTAGAAACCTTGGAGTTGTGATTGATGATAAGCTGAATTTCTCAGGCCACATTGCTAAAACTGTCCAGTTCTGCAGATTTGCTTTATTCAACATTAGGAAGATCAGGCCCTTTCTTTCAGAACATGCTTCACAACTCCTTGTTCAAGCTCTTGTTCTGTCCAGGCTGGACTATTGCAATGCTCTCTTGGCAGGTCTTCCAGCCACTTCTATCAAACCTCTACAATTAATCCAAAATGCTGCCGCTGCAAGATTAATCTTTAATGAACCAAAAAGAACGCATGTCATACCTCTGTTCATCAATCTGCACTGGCTACCAGTAGCTGCTCGAATTAAATTCAAGGCATAAATGTTTGCCTATAAAACCACCACTGGCTCTGCACCCATTTACCTAAATTTATTACTTCAGAGTTATGTGCCACTAGAAGCTTGCGTTCTGCAAGTGAACGGCGTATTATTGTGCCATCTCAAAGAGGCACAAAATCACTTTCACTGACGTTTTCATTAACTGTTCCCTCCTGGTAGAATGACCTGCCCAACTCAATCCGAGCAGCGGAGTCCTTAACCATCTTCAAGAAATGACTAAAAACACATCTGTTCCACCTTTATTTGACCCTCTAACTCTAGCACTTTCTATTCTATTTTAATTCTACTTTATCTGTATTTAGCTTCTTTGTGTGTGTGTGTGTGTGTGTGTGTGTATATGTGTGTATAATATATGTATGTATGTGTATGTATGTGTATGTGTGTATATATATATATATATATCTGTGTGTGTGTGTGTATATGTGTGTGTATATATATATGTGTGTATATATGTGTGTATGTATAAGTGTATATGTGTATGTATGTATGTATGTATATATATATATACACAGTATATACAGTGGTGTGAAAAAGTGTTGGCCCCCTTCCTGTTTTTTAATTTTTTTGCATATTTGTCACACTTAAAAGATTCAGATCATCAAACAAATTTTAATATTACACAAATATATTGCAAGTAAATACAAAATGCAGTTTTTAAATGATTCTTCTGTTTAAGTGATTTCTTGATTCAACGGGTCTGGCAGTAATCAGGTCTGCGTGTGGCTAGTGAAATTTAACTCAGCTTACTAAAATAATGTGTTTAATTACAGTTCTTTCATGATTTAACAGGAGGGGGCAATTAATTTTTCACGTAGGGCCACTTAGGTTTGGACAGCTTTTTTCCATTAATAAATGAAATCATCATTTAAAAACTGCATTTTGTATTTACTTGCATTATCTTTGTGTAATATTTAAATTTGTTTGATGATCTGAAACATTAAAGTGTGACAAACATGCAAAAAAATAAGAAATCAGGAAGGGAGCCAACACTTTTTCACACCACTGTATATATATATATATACAGTATATACATATATACACCTTGCTACATTGCGTTAGGCTAACCAAGACTTGTCATTTGCACTTATAAATTGTTGCTCTTTTGTTAGTTTTGACTGCTTTTATTGTCCTCATTTGTAAGTTGCTTTGGATAAAAGCGTCTGCTAAATGACTAAATAAATACAAATAAATAAACGTAATTAACAAAACTGCGTTGTTTTTGTGGCTCAGGTAATATTAATATAAATAGTATCTTCTTCTTCACTCATGATGGGCGACATGAAAAGATATAACGTTTGCCTTTTAATAAAGTAAATGTTGAAATTAATATATGCTTTAGAAGTGTTTTTCAGGATTAGCTTATACCAGATCTTGGTAACTAAAATAAAAAATTAAACCTTATTGTAAACTGTTACTGACCCATTTTTACTTCATGTGGAAAAGTCCCAAGACTACTTATTTTAAATTAATATTTAAATTATTGAATTGGTGTACTACTCTAACGAAATAAGAATGTGTAATTATTCTATTATTTGCCATATTCAGCAGCCTCTTTTTTCTCCATCATCCCAATCCACAGCGTTTATCTCCACCGCCTTCACGGATATTTTAAAGCAGACAGGTTTTCATAATAGATGAACTGCTCTAACTGTACCAGTCCTGTTTCATGCACCCTTGAATTCTCCATATTTGAAACACAGGCAGCCCATCAGCCTAATTCACAGCTAATTCCTCAGATATGAATGTGTTAAATTAGTCATAATGGTTTCATACTAGGTATAGCCTACTATTCTAACGAAATCCACATTTTGAACGGTTTTTACTTTACCATTGCTTATGGACTCTTAAACCTGCCCTATGAATCAATACAAACACCATTAGCCCATTTCTACATTCTTCATTTCTTCTCTATTTTTCTTTGTTTCTTTCTCTCTCACGAGAACATAACATTCAGATTTCTCTTCAGAATCGCATGTGAAGACCTGTTTGAGATAGTTTTCCTCAGGATGAAAATAAGAGTGATAAAGGGGCTGGAAGGTTCAGGAATGTGTCGCATCTGCAGAAAGCTGTTTTATTAGCAGCTTTTAAAGTTTCAGCTTGAGGAAAACATCTGTTTTTAACTAAACCGATAATAACCCGGCGACACGACTGCACCGATGAAAGCCGTCAGACGGAGCGTGTTAAATGTCAAACTATCGGTGTTATTTCTTCAGGTTTATTTGAGAAAACGTACACTGTAGTAGTTCAAAGTTTGACACTTGATTATTCCTGTTGTTCGCGCGGTAGAAGTTAAACCCGCAGCAGTGGGCGTGGTTTCCTCGGATCTGACCAATAGTGGCGCAGAGCGCGAGTGATTGACAGCAGAGCGGCGGAGGGCAGGTATATAGTCACCTGTGTGCGCTCAGTGAAGCGAGAGGCGTCGCGGGAGAGGTGAGAGAAGACTCTGTAACTCTGCTTCAGGAACACTTACAGAGGGTTTTACTACAGCTGCAGCTGAATGAGCTTTTCATGACTTTGTTCCTTCTTCCACTGATTATGTTGAGAAACATTATGCTGTGTGTGCAGGTCAGAGGTCATGATGTGCTTCAGTCAGGATCGACTCCAACAAGGCGAATGAATTCCTGTCCAGTTCTCGCCCGAGACGCAGTGTCGATGCACGCTGGCACAGGCAAAGTCCAGATTTCCAGGCGTATTACAGATACTACAGCAGCATCGGACACACGGAGGGCGTAAGAGGACGGCAGACCCTCACAGATCACTTGCAGCCCTCATCTGGTGTATATGGTATATGCTGACCCGGCTCTCTTCTCTCCCGCAGCTGTATGAGATCGACAGGATCCGCATGCTGTACCAGCAGATGAGGCACCTGGAGCAGGTCTACGGCCCCAACGCCTCGTACTACCAGAGCAAACTGGGGGTTCCGCTTCTGCCTCCGCTTCCCAAATGTGACCCAGCCAAAGACAAGAGCTGCAAGCCCGCTCCGCCCCCAGCTGCTGTCAAAGCCCCCGTGACTCCGCCCATCGCTCAGGCTGATGTCGTCTATCTGTGCAACAGCAAAGACCCCCAGTGCAGGCCGCACATCGTGTACATGCCGAGCGGAGCCGTGCCGGTGCTGTGTGACCCGCGCTATCACCCCACCTGCAAGCTGGAAGGCCCCGCCCCCTCGCCCGTCCCCTCCAAGAAATACGATCTGGCCCCTCCACCAGCCCCCATCGTCTTCAAGGGAATGGAGTACGACTGCGACCCTTACTGGGACCCCGACTGCCTGATCGATCAGCCCCCGCGGCCCGTGAAGGGTAAAGCCCTGCCGCCGGTGCCGGTGCCGGAGGATGACGAACCAGAACCAGAACCGGAGTCGCCGAAACTCCCACACATGTATTACGGCCGCCTTTATCCCTACAACTACCGCTCCGAGCTCTACGACCCGCTCCGACACGCCTAGAGTCACTCACTTCACTGCTTCTTTCATTGTGATTGATGTTCAGAAAGCTGAATAAAGTATGGAGTAATTTTCCCTGCTGTGTTTGTCCTGAATCCTGAGATTGTATTACTGTAGGGAGATGAGAGGGTCTGTATTACTTACGGCTAACTGTGATCACGTGTGCGTTAATATCCAATCACATTACAGACTTAACGTCATACGGTATGAAGACGACAGAAGGGAGTTAGAAACACAAGTTGGAAAACAAAACATGACAGTGGGAAATCTGCTAGCAAAAACAATGTCTAGGGAAATACACAGTCTCCTAATGAATTATTTGAAAAATACTGGGATAAGTGAAAGAATTTAATAGAAATATATGGGGGGGGGGGATGTATTTTTTTTTAAAATTTTATTTTATCTCTCCTTGTCCTTTCTTTCAAAGTACTGCCCACACTCCAGTCCAGTAGGTGGCGGTAAAGGCACCTTTAAGATGGTTTGCCAGCCACCAATAATATTTAAAGAAGAAGAAGCCTTAATGTTAGGGATGGGCGATACCACTTATTTTGTTTTCGATATACCAATATTTTTCAAGGCAGTATCGTCGATATCGATTCGATACTTCTGAACTAAACTTTTCAATTATTAAATTACTACGAGTAATATGGGTAATGATAAGCAATTAACTATTCAATATGCCTTAATTGTAACTTATTAGGTTATATTTTTGTTTACACATGATTAAAATCTACAAATACTACAGTTGAACTACGGTCACTTTAGTAAAAGCATGGTTCTTTATCATCAGGGACTGCCAGTGACCGGCTGTTGCACGCATAAAATGCAACCTTTTTATTCTGACAGTGTATGATTTTTATTAACATTACAGAATAGAACATGATCAATATTATCTTTCAACATTCAATTTAAATAACTGGAATTGCACAAACTATGTAGGCTACAATTTCAGTTTGTTTACTGTGCAATAAGTCTGTGCTTCTGTCCTCTGATAAGCATTGTTCAGGGCTGCCGTTCCCAAAGGCTTTAATGCTTTCTTATGATGCTTTTGGGAACCGCAGCCCTGGCTGCGCTGTCAGCAGTGAGTGAACGCTCTGTGATGGATCGGTTCAGATGAGCAGGAAGATAGTTCTATCCTACACAATTACTCGCTAACAAAGGTTATTCGTCAAGTTCAATGCATATTGTACGCATTTTTTTAGTTTTTGTTGAATTAACAAAATCACTGGTAAATAAAATGCACCTTAGTATCGATATTTTTTGTTTGAGTATCGATACTTTGGATACTCACGTCAGTATCGATACTTTGGATCGATACGCCCATCCATCCCTACTTGACCTCATTGCATTTCAGAGTTGTGCGACACTCAGTCGTTCACGGATCTCGTAGGAATGAATGAGAAGTGCCTTAAACTGAATCCCACCTGTTGCAAAAATCTGTGACTTTTCTTTTAAAACGGCATTTTTTAAAAATAGTTTAATCAAAAAGTATTGTTTAGTGTAAAACATGTTGGAGATTAGCAGATAGGCTGTCGATTCATTAAATGATGAGCTGTTTCCTTTAAACAGCTGTTTATTCAGCGTAGTGAAGCCTGTCCTGCACTGACACCCATTCACACACAGCAGCTTCCGGTCTGCTTTGCATTAGCATTAGCCGCTACGCTTGCTTTGCTCTGCTGGGGCTGCAGGAAGCAGACGCTCGTGAAGGCTATTAAACCAGCAGGTTAGAGCTTCATTAGCTGTTAACGTTCTGCAGCGTTAGCATGACACACACACACTATCTCAAACTCACACACACACACACACACACTCATACTCTCTCTCTCTCACACACACACACACACACACTCATGAACATTATTGTGCATTTAGATGCTCTGTGAGAATAAAGTTGTGGCATTTTATTCCAACTGGCTGATATAAAAAAAAGAATACATAACTTGAGCTAATAATACATAATAAGCTATATTCTCTTCTGTAGAAATGCTCTATAAACAAAGTTGAAATTATAGAGTTTGACAATAATAAGCAGAATTCAGTAAATGATGAAGCGCTATAGAATTAAACCTGATTAATCACGGGAGGGTTGTGTGTGATCTCTTAGCATGCAGCAGTAAAGACATCAGGTTTATTGTATGAACAGCACGAGCGGTCAGACAGAAGCAGGGGCTTCAGAAGAACAGGCCCCTCATGCGTCTGCCGATGCCCTGCCTGTCGTACAGCACGTTAAACTTGTTGATGAACTGGTTCATGCTGTTGCAGGTTTTGGTGATGGATCCCAGGTACGCCATCAGACCCACGTCATTACATTGCTGCGGGAGGAGAGAACTCGTGTGAAACCACAAACACTTGAGTCGCTGTCTGCACGTGATTCACCAGATCATGAGGAGTCAGTAATCAAACCTCTTATTCTGTAGAACAACATTGTTCTGGCTCCCGAACAGTGACAGAAGCAGAGAACTGAAACACTCACGTCATAGAAGTCTGTCTTGAACTTCAGCGTGTTGAGAACCGGCAGACGGTGACAGAGAGCGTTCGCCTCCCGCAGGATCTCATGATTGAACGGGACCTCACCTAACACACACACACACACACACACACACCAAAGAGAGAGTTTGTGGCTGTTAATAACACAGCTGTCTAAGATTGCAGTTCCAGCTGTTCTCCAGCAGCGTCAGCTCTCAGATAAATCAGATGCACATTATCAGCTAAACCTGCTCAGTAACTGGAGGTCACAGCAAATACAAATATGTTTCCATTTGCAAGAAAAGCAAACAGAGAGAGCATGACAGAAAAAAGTCAAATGTAATTATGCATGCATCAAATGAATAATTCAATGTAAAACATTTTTACACAAAGAGCAAAATAAATAATTTCTGCAGGAGTCCAGCTCAAGCCGTTTCACAGCACACATGTCTGAAGTGCATGATGGGATACGAGTGACGATTATAACAGCAGTATCCAGTACTCCACACGCTTGTCTTTCAGATCAAACTCAAACGTGACCACTCGCTGTATTTATTAATTCAGGCCTGAGTAACCATCTGTTTGTGGTTACCTGCAGAGTGGCAGAGAGAACAGAAGCACGAGCACTGATTCTCATTAACTAATGACTAATGATGTGCAAATGAGCCATGACCTGATCTTTAATTTAAAAAAATAATAACTTTCTTTTATAATCACACTAGACATTCTGAGAAAAAAAATCTAGCATTTTCAAAGACAACATTCAAAATTCAAGCGAATTTCTAAAACATCACAACTAAAAATCAATAAATTTCCTAAATGTTTCAAAACTCTATGAATGCTGACAACAGTGTAATATGTGTGTGTGTGTGTGTGAGAGAGACTGTGTGTGAGAGAGAGAGAGAGAGCGAGAGAGAGTGTGTGTGTGTGTGAGAGAGAGACTGTGTGTGTGTGTGTGTATGTATGTGTGTGTGTGTGTGTGAGAGAGACTGTGTGTGAGAGAGAGAGAGAGAGCGAGAGAGAGTGTGTGTGTGTGTGAGAGAGAGACTGTGTGTGTGTGTGTGTATGTATGTGTGTGTGTGTGTGTGAGAGAGACTGTGTGTGAGAGAGAGAGAGAGAGCGAGAGAGAGTGTGTGTGTGTGTGAGAGAGAGACTGTGTGTGTGTGTGTGTATGTATGTGTGTGTGTGTGTGTGAGAGAGACTGTGTGTGAGAGAGAGAGAGAGAGCGAGAGAGAGTGTGTGTGTGTGTGAGAGAGAGACTGTGTGTGTGTGTGTGTATGTATGTGTGTGTGTGTGTGTGAGAGAGACTGTGTGTGAGAGAGAGAGAGAGAGCGAGAGAGAGTGTGTGTGTGTGTGAGAGAGAGACTGTGTGTGTGTGTGTGTATGTATGTGTGTGTGTGTGTGTGAGAGAGACTGTGTGTGAGAGAGAGAGAGAGAGCGAGAGAGAGTGTGTGTGTGTGTGAGAGAGAGACTGTGTGTGTGTGTGTGTATGTATGTGTGTGTGTGTGTGTGAGAGAGACTGTGTGTGAGAGAGAGAGAGAGAGCGAGAGAGAGTGTGTGTGTGTGTGAGAGAGAGACTGTGTGTGTGTGTGTGTATGTATGTGTGTGTGTGTGTGTGAGAGAGACTGTGTGTGAGAGAGAGAGAGAGAGCGAGAGAGAGTGTGTGTGTGTGTGAGAGAGAGACTGTGTGTGTGTGTGTGTATGTATGTGTGTGTGTGTGTGTGAGAGAGACTGTGTGTGAGAGAGAGAGAGAGAGCGAGAGAGAGTGTGTGTGTGTGTGAGAGAGAGACTGTGTGTGTGTGTGTGTATGTATGTGTGTGTGTGTGTGTGAGAGAGACTGTGTGTGAGAGAGAGAGAGAGAGCGAGAGAGAGTGTGTGTGTGTGTGAGAGAGAGACTGTGTGTGTGTGTGTGTATGTATGTGTGTGTGTGTGTGTGAGAGAGACTGTGTGTGAGAGAGAGAGAGAGAGCGAGAGAGAGTGTGTGTGTGTGTGAGAGAGAGACTGTGTGTGTGTGTGTGTATGTATGTGTGTGTGTGTGTGTGAGAGAGACTGTGTGTGAGAGAGAGAGAGAGAGCGAGAGAGAGTGTGTGTGTGTGTGAGAGAGAGACTGTGTGTGTGTGTGTGTATGTATGTGTGTGTGTGTGTGTGAGAGAGACTGTGTGTGAGAGAGAGAGAGAGAGCGAGAGAGAGTGTGTGTGTGTGTGAGAGAGAGACTGTGTGTGTGTGTGTGTATGTATGTGTGTGTGTGTGTGTGAGAGAGACTGTGTGTGAGAGAGAGAGAGAGAGCGAGAGAGAGTGTGTGTGTGTGTGAGAGAGAGACTGTGTGTGTGTGTGTGTATGTATGTGTGTGTGTGTGTGTGAGAGAGACTGTGTGTGAGAGAGAGAGAGAGAGCGAGAGAGAGTGTGTGTGTGTGTGAGAGAGAGACTGTGTGTGTGTGTGTGTATGTATGTGTGTGTGTGTGTGTGAGAGAGACTGTGTGTGAGAGAGAGAGAGAGAGCGAGAGAGAGTGTGTGTGTGTGTGAGAGAGAGACTGTGTGTGTGTGTGTGTATGTATGTGTGTGTGTGTGTGTGAGAGAGACTGTGTGTGAGAGAGAGAGAGAGAGCGAGAGAGAGTGTGTGTGTGTGTGAGAGAGAGACTGTGTGTGTGTGTGTGTATGTATGTGTGTGTGTGTGTGTGAGAGAGACTGTGTGTGAGAGAGAGAGAGAGAGCGAGAGAGAGTGTGTGTGTGTGTGAGAGAGAGACTGTGTGTGTGTGTGTGTATGTATGTGTGTGTGTGTGTGTGAGAGAGTGTGTGTGAGAGAGAGAGAGAGAATTCCGTGGAGCAGCAGCAAGAAAATTAGCTCCTGATTGTTTTATCTTTAATGTTGTTTTAAGACAAGACAGACATTCAGTTTTGATGAATTGAAGACTAGAAAGACTTCCTACAACCAATATTACTTGAAAGAAGATTTTAAATTAACCAAGAAAAACAGGAAGAGGACAGCTAGCTGAGAGTGGCCCAAAAGGTCATACAACTGCCTCAAAAGAAAAGAGAAGAAAGAAAACTCTCAAAGTGAGTACAGATAAACTACATAAGGTCTGCAGTCAACTACCTTCGTTTTGGGGAAAGATTTGCACACAAACAAAAATGTTTTTTGCACAAATTAAACTACAATATAAGGCCTAACTATAGTGGATATCTGCATGTTCAAAAAACAACAACAAACTGCCAGCAACTGTCAGAATATTTGAACAATGACTGAATCAATCCCCATAACTTACCCACACAAAGCTACAAACGAGATCTTAAAGAAGAAACATAAAGAAAAACTCCTCATGGACAGACCAGAAACACTGTACTCGGATTTATATAAGAACGGAGAGGTCAGCAACATCATATTTTATACAGAAGACCCAGAAGCCTGGCACTCGGCGATTAGACGGCATTACCCCACAGTAATCAGAAAGGGCATCAGTAACGGATGGAAACTGCAGGTCAAAGAAGAGGACGAGTCAGAATCAGATCTCATGATAATAGCCAACCTATACAAAAATGGGACTGTAATGATTCAGGGCAATCTGAAAAAATTAGAAAAGGACTTCCTCCAAATTAAAGGAAAAGCTCAGCTGAACAAGACCAGCCCTAATGCACTAAAACAGGCAGAAGACACCTCCATCTCCACCCATCAAGCTACAACTGAGCAATCCAGGGATGA